CGAGGCCTCCGGGTGGGGTCGAGGGCGGACACTGCGGAAGTGATGACTCTTGTTTACCTATGCGCAAGAGGCTCCAACCTAAACACCTGCCTTGGAGAGCCCCAGTCCTGTCCACCTTAAGCCCAGAGATAAGGCGCTCGGAGGCGGTCACCCGGCACTGAGCTGTCCCGGGTCCGTGGCCCCAGGGACTGTTCTGCAAGGACACAGGAATCCGTCACGCTCTGAGTGCAGACCGCGGTCAGGCTGCCAGCGCGCGCGAAACACGCAGGCCCGTGACTCACGTCCTCACTCATCAGCATCGGGGGCAGGCACGGGCCCCCGACGTCACCCTCAGGCCGCGGGGCCTGGCGCAGAGCGGGGCGCGGCTGCTGGGCACGAGATGGGGTCCCCAGAGCGTGCAGACAACCACTGCTCTGCAGACCGCCGGGGCTGGGTGCTGCCCACGGCCTCCCTGGGCGCGCAGGGCCCTGCCAGCACTGCCGCGCCCCCGCGCAGGGCACAGTCGGGGCCCTGACGGTGTGGGGGTCTCGCTTCCAGCTGGCCTGTGCGGCTCGGGGACCGTCACCCACGCAGCCAGCTGCCGGCCGGGGCCCTGACGTGGCAGGCGCCCCGAGAAACCCCTGCGTCCCCCCTGCAGCCCGCCCTGAACGCCAGAGAGGTGGGGGAGCGCCTCACCCGGCCAGCCCCTCTTCTGCACACAGGCGCGGGGGACAGTCTCACAGCAACTGGGGCCCTCACAGCCCTGAGGACAGGTGCGGGCGGAGGGCGCCTCACCCCCGGCAGGAGCGAGCTTCCCTGTAAATGCCGAGAACAGCCACAGCCCCTAGAGAACAGCAACTCCCAAAGCACGGCACAGTCTAGAATTAGGTGGAAGAAGACCAAAGTGGCCACGCGCTGAGCAGCTAGAGGCCACGGTGGCGAGAGGCTTCCTCACTTGCGAGGAGCTGACTGCGCCCCCACCCGCCTGGGCGCCGAAGTCCGAACCCCCAGTATAGGACACGGGGCTGTAGACGAGGGCTCGAGATCTGGGCAGAGAACAGGGGTGCTGATACAGAGGGAGCACGGCGCGAGGCCA